CGCAGCTCTGAACCTGTTAGTGATGTCTCTGGAAAATGCATTCACTGCTTGCTTTAGTTCCCGAGAACTTGGACCGGACAGCATCCTCGATGTGTGCTCTTTTTTGCAAGCATGCTGACTGGGCTCTGTTGGCTGCACTCCACACAGCACCACATTGACAAACATGATCATTAAGTTTTTCATCTTAACAAGGTTGCACTTCCTTGTCGCCACAAAGAATGCAAGTCGGCAGGAGAGCAGGGAAAGAAAAAAACACTTAAAGATCAGGCGTGTGCTGTAAAAGCCAGTATCGAGTTTGTTGCTAGCTGGCATTATTGCATTTATTTTTGAGTTTTTATGAAAGGCGCTCCGTTTGTGACTACTGAAATGTTTACATAGTTCTGTTGTAGAAACCCTGATTTATAAGACTGACTGCTGGCTCATGTTTGTGCTGCTGGGAAGATGTTCACTACCCTGTTTTGAGTTTTGTGCTTATTAAAGTGTTCATGCATTCTTTGGATTGACGTTGAAGTATTTTACACTGTGCAATTCACCCTTTATTTTGGTGTGATGTGCCAGGGCTCTCAATTATATAGACAACTTTATGAAACAGTTAAAAATAGTATTTTCGATAAAATTCTTAATAGACAAGTACAAAGTTCTAAGAATCGACTACCCGCACGCAAGAACACAAAGCCTTAACACGAGTAAAATTCTGCTTTCTCAGGTACCCAATTATTTCAAATTTATTAGGCATAACCTCGCTGGTACCTCTGGATTATTGGACAACAGCTTTAGTAATGCAGTAAAGAAAGCGTGAACATCAAACGCTGACAAATCAAGTCATTATCGCCCTCTGCTTGTAACCCGACACTCAAAATCTCCCGCTCCAATCTTATTCTACACTGACTCATCAAAAGATTCAGGCAAGAACGTAAGTGGCCACTTCGCGCAAGGTTCCGTGATCGGCCCACGATTAAAACACAACAGAGGTGCAAATACCGAACTAACATGCTACATCTGTCGAACAAAATTAAAATCTCAGTCCCTTATTTCTTGTGGCACAAGAAAAAGAGTTGCATCGGAGTTAACACTACAAACTGAACAAACCGCAAAAACGTGCAGACGACAGCGCGGACACGGAACAGGCTGATCGGGCTGCTGACCATAGCGCCTCTCGCGGCGTCATAACGCAGCGCGACGGCCTTGCCTCCTCCGACCGTCACACCTCCCCTTCTAGCCACCATACTTTCGGTGCACGAAAGTGGTCCATGAAGCTTCTTCGGATGGCGAGGTTGGAAACCTCCGTGCGTCATGTTGATGCTTCTAAAGGGGACTTTTCTGTGCCATCGGCTGTCGCCGACGACGCATTCGTCGTCCCAGATCACCATGCTTCGGAAACGTCTGGAATGCTGACGCCGACCACCTTGGCAGCTTTGAACATCGTGGGCCCCAGTGGCAGTATCAATGTTGTGGCAACGGGTGGGAACGTATCGTCCACCGTTCGTTTGACAACTCATTTTCTGACGTAGGAAGAAATCGAAATGGATTGTGCTTCCTGGTCAAGTCGAGCTTAGTGCTATGTCAGCAACCAAAAGGAAGTTTCAAACCATGAAGCCTGATTCAGCAGCCCCCACTACTTCATCTGCTACAAATTCAGAGGCAAAGTTCTGCCTCGTCCAGTTGGATGTTTTGAACACTCTGCTCTGCTCCACACTGTGCAAGCATTGTTTGGAACCCGGCCTGACAATCCAAGAGAGCGCCAAGCTTGGACTGGCCATGAAGCTGGAGGTTGTGTGTGCTATTTGTGGCGTTCTGTTTTCTGCTTGGAGTTTGCCATGCCAGCAAGACTCCGTGGCTTTTGAAGTGAACATTCGCGCCATGATGGCCATCAAGAAGATTGGGAAGGTGCAGACAGCTCTCAATGATTTCTGGGCAGCGATGAATGTTTCCCATAGAGGCCTTCATCGCGAGACTTTTCCGGAGCAACTGAAGAAGACTTTCAGAGAGTCACAGGCCCAGGGCTTGAACGGGTTTTACGCAGAGCTGGCTACTGCTGTAAAGGTTGCCTACGAAAAGATAGAGGCAAGTTTTCACAAGGACATAACTGTGGCGTTCGACAGGACGTGGTACAAAGGTTTGCATACGTCCCACATTGGTGTTGGATCAGTGATCGAATACCACATGGGCCTCATTTTGGATGCCGTGGTGCTCTCAAATTTGTGCCTTGGATGTCAGACGGGACCACAGCCTAGAGACCAAGGGTATGACAGCTGGCATCAGCACCAGATATGCCAGAAGAACAATGATGCCAACTTAGGGAAGGTGGACATGGAAGCAGGCTTGACCCTTTTCAAGCGATCTTTTGAAAAGCACGACCTGCGATACCCAATGCTTGTCTCTGATGACGACAGCAGGACCTTTTCAGCCTTGATGGAAGAGAATGTTTATGGAATAGTCTCTGTCATCAAGGAAGAATGCCTGAACCACGTTCAGAAGGGGATCGGGACGGCACTGCAAAACCTGGTCCAGAAGAGCGACCAGTTCTTCTGTGATGAAAGTTCTTATCGACAAGCTGACAAACTTCTACGGTTGGGCCCTATGCAACATCTCGAAGGACGTGGCAGCAATGTAGCGGGCAGTCATGGCAACTTTGCACCATGCCACATCGACTGATGATTGGCCCCACCATGAACTTTGCCCAGAGGGAGCTGAGTCGTGGTGCCGCCACAGAACTTACAAGGCAAGAGGTGAGCAACAGTCCAAGCACAAACACAAAGTCTCTGACTATGTGGCTGTGGCTATGTGGCTCGTCTATGACGACCTGTCTCGAGCTTCCCTTCCGCAGCGGTGCTTGGGAGCTGAGAGCAACAGTCCAAGCACAAACACAAAGTCTCTGACTATGTGGCTGCGGCTATGTGGCTCGTCTATGACGACCTGTCTCGAGCTTCCCTTCTGCAGCGGTGCTTGGGAGCTGAGACCCAGAATGCCTCCCACTTGTTTCACGCAGTCCTCTGGTCACTCCTGCCCAAAGAACAGCATGCGCCGCTCATTGCTGTGAAAACAGCACTTCATGAAGCAGCGCTGCGGTTCAGTGCCAGCTGCTGTAAAGCAGCAAAGGAGATTTTGGCTGCACTGGGGCTCCAGCCAGGTCATCTAACCCTCCAGCAAGCTGTCAAAAAAGATGCCCTACGCTTGCACAAAGCTGAGAAGCAACAGGCAAGGATGGAGAAGCAAAACAGGAAGAAAGTGTGCAAGGACACTTCCAGCTACAACACAGGATCATTCTAACCTCAAAAATGTTTGTGCAATTTTCAAGAGCCGTTCTTTTCAAAATTGATTTTTTTTTCTTTCGGTGGTCTTAAGAGCGCCATATGTTTGCAACTACTGGATGTATTCGAGTGCTGTTTCTTGTTTTCCGTTCCTAAATAACATTGTGAGACGTGACAATTTTCTATTTTTGATAACTTGAGTCAGGAGTTTATAATAAACACATCAAACTTGATGAATGGGGCTATAACAAAAAAACATAAATTTAATATTGCTCAAAAGTTTTTTTTTCTCTAGAGATAATATCGAAAATGGCTTTGTCTTGACCTGGGATATCTATCCAGGATTCATTGTAACAAATTTCATACTGCCCCTATTTGTTGTGATTTCTCCACGCCCAGAAATATAGAAGCACATGAACAATTATGACACCTAGCAAGTGATGGGGGTTCGTCATGCAACTTTGCATTTACTCTTGTGCTGATGTTATGAACATACCCTAAAAATTTTATTGTGATATCTCTAAAAATGAAAAGAGCCTTGAGCCTTTCTACTCTTGTGAAGAAGGAAGAGCAGCAGAGCTGTAGCTTCTCGCGGTGGCTTTCCAGGCAAGCGATCTGCTCTTCTTTCGCAAGGGAATCTGAAGCGCTCGACGCAGTCGAACTTTAGGCGATAGCGGCCTCGCGGCGGTTGTAGAACCATTCGCGATGCTGCTGCACACATTGCAGCGCGTTTTGTTCCCGCTCTTTTTCCTCCAAAGAAATGTTGCCGGCATCTATAAGTGACGGCAGCAACCAGTTGTCTGGTTGCCGAGGCTGGAAAGTTTGCCGCGATCTATGAGCGATGGTGGCAACCAGACAACCGGCAAACACAACACTCTTGACAGCTACCACCATCTATGAGCGACGGCGGCAACCAGAGTGTTGTGTCGATATTTGTTTGGTACCGGACGCGATCCTGGGGAAACTAGCCCTTTACAGCTCTGCTGTAAAAAAGTTCTGGGGCCCATGTCCTCCCTTAAGGTAAGAAAAAAAAACAAAAAAAAAACGGAAGAAAATGTATGTATATAATCGCACTCGACAAACAATGCAAATCAATACAAAGCACAAAAAGGAAGCTACCATATTTACTCGCATAATGATTACATTTTTTTTTCATGAAAAGTGATGCGAATCAGGGAAGTGCGTCATTACGTGCCGGGAAAAATAAAATAAAATTATCAATGATCATTGTGGAGGGTCCATTCGCTATGTGAGTAAATACTGTAACCAGTGAAGACAGCTACAATGCAGCCTAGTACAGTGTAAACCCCGGAACAACGGGCACATGCATTAGCTTTCCAAAAAGACAGGGCATAACAGAAAAAACAACTTCATTAGACGTTTCGCCTCCCATGCGGGAGGCATCATCAGTAGTTACACAGCAAATGCAGGGTTCAACCTAAACCTGCATTTGCTGTGTAACTACTGATGATGCCTCCCGCATGGGAGGCGAAACGTCTAATGAAGTTGTTTTTTCTGTTATGTCAAGTCGGCGTTCTTATTTTAATTATGACGTCTCCCGGCTTTTGGAGTATTTTTGCAAAAAGACAGGGGGAGTTAGCATCCTGTCGTTCAAGAACAGCAGCAGCTTGTTTGCAAATAGTCAGTTTGGCGTTGATCGTCATTCGTCCCTGTTCCTTCTCCTCGGCTTCGTTTGCGCGCACGCTCTCTGTCAACGCACCTCATGACTTTTGGGCGCGTCTTGCGCAGGTCTCTCTGCGTGTCACCTGGCTGGAGGCCCGTGTTGACCATGGGAGTGCCGTGAGAGAGCCCCTGCCCCCGGCACCGGAGGGAGGGGTGGTGTCCCTGCAGCCCCAGGTGCTCTACCTGGGCTGGCTGCCCACCCACAGCAGCGAGCGGGTCAAGCGGCAGAGTAGCAATGCCTGGCTGCACCGCATCACCGACTACCTCGAGAACGTGGAGCATTTCAAGGGCGTGCTGCAGGACATGAGGGTCAGTGCCCACCCCCCCGCCGCTGGGGCGGCCCGGAGCCTCTACAGATAAGCTACGCTTTGGCGTAGCGAATCTTCGGCCATCTCAGTGCTCGAGATCGTTGTTACCAGTTGTCTGAAACTCGGTCTAAATCTGCAGGGAGCGGTCTTCTATCCTCTAAAAATGGTAAAACAGTTGGTGACGAAGCAATGCGGAGCGGAAGTTTGTATGCTTTTTTTTGCAGGGGTTGTGGCGACATCAGAACGCCGAGCTCTTATTGGCTCTGATTGAAGGATAGTGGGTAGACCTCAAGGCGGCTCGCTTTGAGGTCTACCTACTATCCTTCATTCAGCGCCATTCAAAGCTCAAATCCTCCTGATGTCATCACAACCTCGGCAAAAGAAGCAGACGAACTCACACTCCGCATACGATATTGCCCGAACTTAGTGACACCGAACCGGAAGCTTAGGAAGTCGCATTTTCAAATTGTAACAGTTGCCACTTGCTCTCGTTCTGCTATAGGCACCAAATGGTGGCACCAACGAGAAAACCTACGAATGTAGTGTTGATACTCGAAACTTTGCTTATTTCGTGGCTCTAGGACTTCTTAACTCTTTGAAAACTTGACATAAAAATACCGAGCACGCTTCCACGTCACAGAATTCTAAGTGGAGAGTCAAAACAAAATGAAAATTTTTGTTTTGAACACGTCGCGGTAAGCACCCAACCCTATTCTTAGAAATTTGAAACGTACGCGAAGGACATGTTAAGCGGCCGCCCGAGCAAATCTCCTAGCCCGATGAGCTAACCGAGGTTTTCTTTTCGCTTTGGCCGCTTCTCGAAAGAAAGGGTGCCTTTTTTGCCCGCGACGTGCGAAGAAGTATAAGCGACAGCTGTAGCACATTCGCGCACCTGGGGCAGAAGAGACACAGGTTGAGCGCATTATCCGAACCGTGGAGTGCACGTCACAAGCGGAGAGGAATAGATCCGCTTTCGTCACCTTCCTGCACATTTTGGCCGCCCAGGCTCGGCCCGTAACGCGCTGCGCGGCGGTGCACTGCCATCGACTTCCAGGGGGATCTGCCGACATCGACAAAGCGATTGCGGCGCAGTCGAAAGCGCTCCACGAAGTTGGCACTGCCATAAATCTGCTAGCGGAAGGTGTCCAACCTGAGCCAAATCTGCCGGTGGAATATGCACGCTTTAAAAAGGGCACTTTTGGCGCGCTCCAAGTCTGTGAGCGGAATATGCCATTAATTACTGGCAGCTGAAAAAAAAAAAAAAACGTGGGGCATGGGTAGTCTTGGGCATCTCATTATCACTCTGCGGCCAATGAGAGTGCGTCATTTTTCATTAAGAACTCCAAAGGATGAATTGCGAAACAAAAAGCCTGAAGATAATACAACACTCCCTGCTTTCATTAGACTGTCAACGACTATCGTTAACCAATAATGATAATGAATTATAATGCTAGAAATATGCGTGTCCTTCCGCCATACACTCCGTGCGTTACGACTTTGCCCAAAGGGTTAAGATGCCTTTCGTTTTGTGCCGCAATGCGTGCCGATCGACTTCGTGCGCCTGACCTCTTTCTTGCCCCGGAACGACACGCAGCTCAACAAGGAGCCCGTGCCGCTGCTGAAGGGGCGCCAGCCGCAGGCTGAGGACGGCGCTGCCCTGGTGAACGTGCTGGAGAGCAGCAAGGTGGACGCCGGGGTGGTGAGCGACGACGAGTGCTCGAGCGGCCCGTGCCTCAACGGCGCCACCTGCACCGACATCTGGAACGCCTACAGGTGGGCCAGGAGCCAACACGGGCTGCCCGAAAACGCGCGCGAGGTTCGCGCCGGGCACGGGCCGCCATTGGGCGGGAGAAGCGGACGAGTCAAAAACTGCACCTGCGTGGGCAACGGCAACTGGAATTACTCGTTTGCGTTTTTGACGCACCGATCGACTGCTTTAGCTGAATGCTGCGTCGGTGTTCGGCCAGAGCTCGTCTACAATTGGTGAAGCACCAATGGATGTTTTGCAAAAAATTCCGGAAGGCCCGTGTGCTCCTCCTTGCCACCACACCAACCAATGCTGAAGCGAGCAGGGGGAGAGATGGGGAGTAGCGCAGTTGCTCACCTGCCCTTGCCCGCGCTTCCTTCTTCGTCTCCTACGACCAAATCTGCACAGTATCATTCCCGGCGTTTCTTTCGGTGCCACGGACAACATGCACAGTTTGCCACGGGTCTGTTTGGCGCGAGTCCCGGCTGAATACCAGCTCATCGCTTCTGCCCAATCTACCTTGAGCCTGATCGAAGAAGGTCACTTAAACGATCCGGTGCATAGACCTTGTTTTGGCTGAACACCGAGCTCTGTAGTAAGTAAGCTGGACAAAATCTCCTTATGGTTACATCTTCCTGCAAAAGGCTTGTCGAGGAACAAAGAGCGACGCAGTAAGAAAGGCCCTGCTACTATTCAGTTCAACGTAGAAATGCACATTTTGCCGGGGTTTTTCTTTGAGCATGCAAGTGCCTTTCTTACTTTATCTCTAAACAATCGGGATGGCATAGTGCCATTCGAACCATCCTAAATTTATTAGTATAGAAAAGGTCTCCCGCACACAAGCACGTGCATCTATAAAAACATAATATATTGACAGGTATAACGACAGAAAGAGCTCAAAATTTTACTCTGGGAAGGTGACATTTTCATAGTCTGTATAATATTTTTTTATAAAATTATGCTTGTGATGAGTAAAAAGTCTGTCGGTGCTGTTCCACTCACTTGGTACTGATTTTGCGACTATGCGCATTCCCACAAAAATGGGATGTGAGTGAGGCTTGGTTGAAAAAAATTAATGGGTTGACAGTAATGAACCTCTAAAACGGTATTGCGCCGGTCGGCATGGGACGTCCGATCAGCCTGCTCGGCCCTCAGTAGCTCCGGGGCAAAGTGCTGGCCTACCGGCCTCCAGTTGGGAGATTCAACTCGCGGTCGAGAGGCCCACAACCCGACGGAGGCTTATTGCGGAAAAGATGCTGTGCAACTGAGATTTTGGTTGCACGGCGCTCGATCGCCCTATTAGAGCAGAAAGTTTCTAATGCCCGAGTGCCCATTGGGTTACGAGCAGCGTGCGGAGGCCGGAGCGGTTGCAGCTCGGTCGTCCCCAGAGCGGGCGCGGCTGGCGGGTCTTTCTTCCGGAGAAGCTGTACCCTTTGCCTATCTCCCTCCGTGCAGTTGTGTGTGTCCCGCCGACTTCCGGGGCAAGCTGTGCGAGGAGCTCAGGCCCTGCGTGCGCCACCGCTGTCCCAACCAGAGCCTTTGCCAGGACCTGAAGGAGGGTCACGAGTGTAAGTGCCTCTCTGGACTTGGGGGTGGGGGGTTAAGTGGGGGGGCTTGGGTGAACGCACTTCCAAGCGACGTGTTGTGCCGTGCCCTTCCACCCCCTTACTCCCCTTTCTGTCCACCCTGCCTGGGCCTCGGATGCCTTTTCTAACGGTGTGAAGGCCACTACCGTGTGTGGTTGACTGCAATTACACGTTCGAAAGTTCTCGCCTAAATGCGAAGCCCCACGCACTCTGGGAGGCGCTACTGTCTGTTGCGTGTAGAAATAGGAGGGTTGCCCAGAAAGCCGAGCCTCACATTTTAGTTCCCACCCAAAAATAAAGAAAGACCTTCAAGTTGTAACTTTGACATTTTCTACATGTTCATGTGTAATTGCACAGTCCTCGCTTAGACGACGCTGTTGTAGCAGTCCGTGAAAATGACGACCGTGTCCGACGCACGTCGCGAGCAACGAGCTGTGATTGAACTTCTAGTGGCGGAGGAAGAAACTATGGAAAAAATTTGCAACTGTTAATGTACGGTATGTGAAAGTTGTACAATCATCAGAAACGCGGTTCGACATTGGGTCCAAAGAATTAGGGCTTCGGAAAGTGAAGAAACAAAGCAGCACGATCGCCTGCAGTTGGAGCATCCTGCCTCTGCCACCTACCCAGACATGTTGCGGCACGCCGACAAAATTATTTGTGCGAATTGGCACGTACCGACAAAATTGACCTAACAGCTTTCAGTCAGCGAAGAACCTGCAATTCCAATTCAATTCAATTCTAATTCAATTCAATTTTTATTCAAAAATCAAAATAAATACGGAACACACTGCACAAATGCACCTGGATTTATAACCTACTTGGCTAGTCTTGGATTCATTCCAAATGTCCAATACTAAATAATGCGGTGGATCACCTGTCACCCATGCCTGTGCCGTACACAGATATTTCTCAGTCAAACATTGTTCTTATATAAAATCTTTTACCTGTACTTTCAGACGTTTTGCTTTCTTTTATTGGGAGGCTTAAGAAATTCCATATTTTGGTTTCAGTATATTGTATCACTCTTTTACCATGCATATTATGAGACAGTGGAATGTTAAGATTGTTGGCAAAAAGGGTTACCCTTTTTGACTGAGAGAATATACTTGGTGGTAAAGGTGAATCTTGTTAAAATATTTTGCATCATAACTACAGCTTTATAATTCTGCACTTGCCTTTGAAGTGTTATAATTGGTTGTATGTGGCTTTGATAAGTAAAACCCTAGGATTCCACACAATATTGGAGGTGAGTGTGAAAGATGCTAAAATATATCAACCTAATCAAAGTAGTGACATGTTTTAACTTAAATGTATATAGAATATCCTAGTTTTTGCGCAGGTCTTCTAATGCACCTTTCATTCAAAAGATGTGTCAAGTTTCACTCCAAGATATGAGAGTGCAGCTCTTAGGCGGCCGTTTCTGTCTTGAGTGGCGTTGCCGTCGGCATAACCGCTAGTGATGCAAAACTATCGATAAATTGGCTATCGATAGTGTCTCAGAACTATCAATACTCGACTATCGATAGTATTATCGATAGTTTTTCGATAGTCGACTATCGATAGTGTCTCAGAACTATCAATAGTCGACTATCGATAGTACTATCGATAGTTTTTCGATAGTCGACTATCGATAGTTTTTCTATAGTCAACTATTGATAGTACTATCAATAGTTTTTCGATAGCCGACTATCGATAGTACTATCGATAGTTTTTCTATAGTCGACTATCGATAGTTTTTGACTATACTGGCGACTAATGATACTATCGATAGTGCTATCGATAGTCTTGCACCACTATAGTCCGTTACAACTCAAGAAGGTGGGGCGAGGGTAAGACGGGCCGGGGAGGGGGAAGCAGATGGAACACAAAAAAGAGAAGGAGGTTTCCCCATCTCTCCTCCAGCGTTCCGTCTGCTTCCTCCTCCCCGGCCCATCTTACCCTCGCCCTACCGCTCGCCTCCCCTTCTCCTTTTTCCGCCCAAACTCCCATCTTCGTCATCACTGACAGCTGAACCAAAGTTGGGATGGTAAGTGCCTGGGCTAGTTGGTGTCCCATTTGAAAGAAATAATAAAGCGATAAAAAGAGAAGAGGGAGCGACAGAAACTACTAGTGTCGCAAAACTATCCATAGTAAACTGTTGACAGTACTATTGATAGGTTTATGATAGTCGACTATCGATAGTTTTCCGATAGTCGATTAACGATAGTTTTCCGATAGTCGACTATCGATAGTTTTATTATCGATAGTCAGATTTCTGGCGACTATCGATAGTGCTATCGATAGTTTTGCACCACTATAGTCCGTTACAACTCAAGAAGGTGGGGCGAGGGTGAGACGGGCCGGGGAGAGGGAAGCAGACGGAACGCAAAAGAGAGACGGAGCTTTCCCCATCTCTCCTCCAACGTTCCGTCTGCTTCCTCCTCCCCTGCCCGTCTTACCCTCGCCCTACTGCTCGCCTCCCCTTCTCCTCTCCTCGCCCAAACTCCCGTCTTCGTTATCACTGAAAGCTGAACGAAAGTTGGGATGGTAAGTGCCTTGGCTAGTTGGCGTCCCATTTGAAAAAAAATAAAGCGATAAAAAGAGAAGAGGGAGCGACGCAAACTACTAGTGTCGCAAAACTATCGATAGTAAATCGTCGACAGTACCATCAATAGTTTTTCGATAGTCGACTGTCGATAGTTTTTCGATAGTCGACTATCAATAGTACTATCGATAGTTTTTCGATAGTCGACGATCGATAGTACTATTGATAGTTTTCTGATAGTCGACTATCGATAGTACTATCAATAGTTTTTTTCACAATCGATAGTCAGATTTCTGGCGACTATCGATACTATTGATAGTACTATCGATAGTTTTGCACCACTAATAACCGCGCGTTGCATTATGGGACGTTTCCGATAATGACGTCACCCGTGACGTCACAAAGGTCACTTGTGAAGGTCACAACCTTCATGTGACCTTCACCAGTAAAGGTCGTGATCTTTACGAGTGATGTCACGAGGGTCACGAGTGATGTCACAAGGGGGGGAGGGAGACGGAGGAGAATGAGAGGAGAGGAGGATGGAGGAGAGGGAGGAGGAGGGGAATACCCGCCTCTCCGCACCTTCCCCTCCTTCTCCCCAAGAGCTGTGCTCTAATTCGGCATTACAGAAAATTTTAAACGTCTTTTTTTTTTTATTATTATTTCCACCCTTTTGATATGTTGATTTCCTATCTTAATATCACTCACCCCAGTTGACATACTCTTAGAGGGGGATGAGAATACAATCTAATTTGTCATTTGTTAGTCTAAAGCTAATTTATTATCTAGGAACCATCTCTCTATTAGCTTAAGTTTGTTTGACATTTCTGACTGAAGTAATTCTAGTGAATTTCCAGAGATAAAAAACTGCAGTATCATCCGCATGCATTATAGTTTGCAGTTTGGTCGTAATATTAGCTAGGTCGTTTATATAAATTGAAAAAAAGTTTTGGTCCCAGCACAGAACACTGGGGGACTCCTGTCAACACAAACAGACTAGTTGAGAATTGTTCCCTTATACCTACACGATAAGTAACCCTTAAAGAAATCAAGAGTAAAACCTCGAAAACCATATCTTTGTACTTTCTCCAAGAGTATGCCGTGATCTACAATGTCAAAGGCTTTTTTATGTCCAGAAATAAGCCAACAGCAATGTTATTGTTCTTTATTGCATTGTTAATGATTGGCTAATTGCTAAAACTGCAGTATCTGTTGATTTGCTCTGTCGAAAACCATGTTGGTTTTCACATAAAATATTTTTTTAGTTAAAAAGTCTACTACTCTTGTCGCTATGAGCGGAGAGTGTTTATACAGCTTAATACTGATATTTGTCTGTAGTTTTAAAATGGGTTGACACCACCATCTTTATGTATTGGTAAAACTTTTGCTATTTAAACAGTACAGAGTATGTGCCACAGTAAAACGCTTGATTGTCTATTTTTTCCAACGGTATGGCAAGGACATCAATGTTGTCCTTGATTACATTTATTGAAATACCATCATATCCAGAAGTCTTACCCCTTGGCATAGTTTTCATTATTGACAAAATTTTTTCGCACATAATATTTCTATAGCTAAATGCTAAGAAATCCTGGTAGTTGGTTTGTGTCGGTTCTTCGGGAATTTTAGCAGGTTCTTTACCTATAATACAAGAATACTTATTAAAATTATCCGTGAGGTCTTTTTCCTTACGGCAAGAAGTCGCCTCCAGGTCCGGCAGCACTAGGCTTCATATTTTTGGTTTAATAATGGAGTTTACAATTTACCACATTTTCTTTGTATCCTTTACACATTTTTGTGTCATATTACAGTAGTACTTCTTTTTCCTACGTTGTACGTTGTAGTAATGTCATCCCCTTCCGATAAATTTTATTTTTTGGCCTACTCTATGTTGTTTCATCTCCCATACCAAAAGGCTTTAGATTTTATTACTTCCAATATTTTATGCGTCATCCATGGGCAGGTAGGCTTTTCGTAGTAGCCCCTTTGTTCAACCAATGATGATTCAATTACACATTGACGGAGTTAATTATGAAAACAACTACCGTAAATTCCCGTAAGAACGCCCACCCAAAACATAGAGGTAAATGGTAAAAAACATGGGGTGGGTTATCTTTGGGGATGCCACAACAAAAGTTTATAGAAAATTATTGATAAGCACAGGTGCACTTGTTATAAACCGCATGACGCGGGAACTGATACCACAGATGACTGACAGGGCGAATTCGCGTTTCACGATGCGATAAACACGCGGGAATTCGCTACAAACTCCTGTGTCACGGGAAAGGATACCGCAGGCTGCGGTAGATTCGCGTCTCACGGTGTGAAAAACCCGCGGAAACCCGCATCTCCCGAGAACGAATACCGCAGATCGTGGACACAGCAGATTCAAGATTTATGGTGAAATAAACATGCGGGGACCCGCTACAGCCTTGCCTGTCACAGAAACCGATATCACGCGTGCAGATCGCGGACAAAAACGCAGGAATTTGATACAAACTCACATGTCACGGAAACAAATACCGCAGATCGTCGATGCAGCAGAATCGCATTTCACAATGCAATATACGCGTGGGAACAACTTGCGCGTGTTACAGCTAGAAATTGATATCGCGCACAGATCGTGGACAAAAACACGGCAATCTACCACAAACTTGGGAACGAATACCGCAGATTGCGAACACAGCAGATTCGCGTTTCACGGTACAATATACACGTGGAAACAGCTTGCGTGTTACGGGAGCCGACATCACGCGTGCCGGTGCCGCAGATTGCGCCGTTGATCCATTATTCCTGCCGGACATAGCTTGACGTCCGACAAGAATAGGGGGGTGGGCAATGTTTCGGAATTTTTATGTTACAGATAGTTAGCCAGAAAAATGGGATAGGCAACCTCTCGGGGGAGGGCGTCCTTATGGGATTTTACGGTATACTGTCGAGACCAGTTATAACGAAATAGCAGCTACAGCCAAGAGATCACGATTTCCCATCCCATTTGAACTTTTTCAGTGCATTTGTGTCGGTTTTTAGCGTAGGAAATTAAGCAGCTCCTGTGAATATAGCAAAAAAAAAAATTTAATGATAAAAAAAATTGTGAAGTTTTTTAAGTTTTAAATTACCGTACTTGGCTGCTGCCACCGAGCAGCCACCCAGAATGGGCCGTAGACAATGCTGCAAAGGCCGCAGGCGGCAGCCTCTGCATCATCGTCTGCTCCCCTCTTCTTATCTGGGAAGTGACTTTTTTACATCGCACGCGGAGAAGCCGTCGTGGCATGCGGATAGAGGCGTTCGGAGCGCCAGTGACGACGTACCGGCGGATATGACGGAGAGAGCCTAGATTTAAGAAAGGGAGCAACTCCAACCATTGAGAGAGCATTTGCAATTTAATGGCAGACGCCTCCTGGGCAGATTGGCGCAAGTATGCCTGCATTTGGTTATCACGTGGCCAGTGTGGCAAAGAAACTAGGTGGAGAGGCCGACACGTTTGCAGAAGGTGAACGCTTTTGGGTTTTGACTCCTTGCATGCCACAGCTCGTCTCGGAAACACGGCCCATAAACCATGTGACCCCAATCGAGCAGTTGCTCCCTCTCTTAAATCTAGGCTCTCTATACTACGAAAGACAAGCTTGAGCGTGAACTCAGTGTCGTGTGCGCTTCTTTGTTTGGTTCATGTCTTGTGTCGGCGTCGCTGTTGAGTGTGGTCGCTCTTGCGCAAAAGTCTAACTTTGCCCAAGCACCGATTCGGTGAATCATTGCACTCAACAAGGGAGAGTTCCGACACCGCTGACACCTCAACGGGGAAGACGAAGGCAGTCTCCTTGGAACAAAAGCATGCCATCTTGGACAAAGTGTGCATGAACATAAAGAATGCCGTCCACCGTTGCGTCCTTTGCAGCGACCGTCGGAGCAGTCGACACAGTTCACACGTAGCTGGCAGGATCTTCTCTCGATCTAGCAAAGACACGTGCAGGGAAGCTCGACCGCTTTCTGCAGGCACGATAAACATGTGCCCGTGATGGCTCAACTTATCTTTTTTTTCTGCGTGTCACTTTTATGAGTCCAAATATAACAAACTATTGGGACATAAGATACAAGCTTCTATTGGTTTGGGGACTTTTTTTTATTAAATGATTCGGAGAACCTGGGGAGGCAGTGGTAATTCGGACCGTACGCAGACTGCGTGGGTGGGCGTGACGGGCGGCCCTTCTCGCAGGCGTCTCCTCGGCGACCCTGGATGGCGGCGTCGGCCTGGTCTACCGTCCCGTGCTCCTCGGCGACCATGCCCTAGACAATGTGTCCCTGCACTACCGGTCCCGCTCGGCCGGCACGCTGTTGACCGTCCGGCACGGGGACCAGCTGCTGTCTCTGTCCCTGACCTCGACGCACGTGGAGCTGTCGTGGCACCCGTTGTCGGCCTCCTCCACCCTCCGGCTGCCCCGCGTCGACGGGGAGTGGGCGGCCGTTTCCGCGACCGCCAACGGGTCGACGCTCACCCTGCGCCAGGGGACGGACGCAGTAGAGAGCCCGTGGGACCCCGCGGAGGCCCCGGAGCTGCGGGGCGCGTCAGCGACGGTCGGCGAAGGCCTCGTTGGCTGTTTGAAGGAGGTGCGCGTGGGGGGCCTCCTGCTGCCCTTCTTTTCCCCGGACATGCTGGGGGAGGGAACGGCGCCGGAGCGCTTCGAGCTGGAGGCGGTGGAGGGGCCCCGCGGGGGCTGCCTGCTGTGCCGGGAAAGCGACTGCCTCCACGGGGGCCGCTGCGAGGACCCCGAGGGGTCGTACGCCTGCGCCTGCCCACCCTCCTTCGAAGGGCAGCTGTGCGAGAAGGACGTGGACGAGTGCGTTGCAGCACCCTGTCGCAACGGTGCGACCTGCCTCAACCTGGAGGGGTCCTTCCGGTGCCTGTGTGCAAACGGCTTCGAGGGCGATCTGTGAGTGACCGTCGGCAGTGGGCGGACCAGGGGGGGGGTAAAGGGGCGTTGACCCTGTGTCCACTCCGGAAAGGTGACGTCTGTGGTGCGCTCGCCACGAACCTCGTTTTTATTCACGGTAGGAAAAGAGGGAGGTATATGATTGGTGCCGTCTCACCGCGAAGGAAGTATGGCGAAGGTTGGATCGCAGTACTGACAAGCACCGAGGGATGGCACAGCATGTCTAGGGGTAATAGAGGCCTATGAGAGCCACTCAAAGAACCATTCTTCTTTGGACGCGGATTTGCAACGGCCATACCCACCGCTTAGCATACGTGGCCTGGCCCGTAAACCGATGGTGCCTGAGATTGCATGAAGCTTGAGCAAACCTTTGTCGCCTTGTTTAGACACCTTTTAAAGCGGTAGCTTTACGGGCGACACCTTCCAGAGGTTTCGGCTTCGTCTCCCTTCGTCACTGCGCTTAGGAAGAAGGGAAAAACGCTTCTCTCCCCTCTTGCTGCGAGGAAGTCGGGACGCTCCGTCGGCCGTTCCTTGCGAGGAAAGCGAAGAGGCCAGTTTAGGCGTCACTCCAATAATTGCGCGTCGCAGAGAGAATCTCTATGTCGTCTGCTTCGAAAAAGTTTTTTTCAAACATTCCTCGCGTTATGCGAAATCCCACTTTGGCAGTATCCAGTTTCTACGCTTAATGTTAGATTGTTGTAGAAACTTCTACCGCGCTTGCCCACTTACTTCACGGATCTCTGGTGGCAGTCGTCTGTGGCATCCACAACGCCAACCACGACGGCTATGAAAATTAACCACGTCGCACCTCCGTCCTCAGGTACACGACGGCACCATTCCACCCGCGTTGTGCAACCATGCCGCAGCTATTGCTTTCATTTCTTCTCGGCCTTGGGCGAAAAGTATTACTTTTTTCTTCTTTCTCCTTCTTTGGCGCATGATTTTGTGTGAAAGTTTTAACCTGCATCTTGTAAAACTACCCTCATTTTTGGAGCAGAAAACTACTTTAGATAAGCTGCACAATCGAACGCCTTTACAACGAAGTTTGCGAGACTGGCGAAATTTTTGTAGTACAGTAAAACCTCGTTATTATAACAAAACGGGATATAACAAACTAATGGATATAACAAAGCAATCATAATTCCCCTTGCTTGTTAATAGTGGGAAGAAATGGACATTGGCTATAACAAACTAATGGTTATAACGAAATAATTACGACCGCTCCTTCAACTTTGTTATAACGAGGTTTTACTGTACATGTAACTTTGTCGTAGTAGTTGAGCCGCAAAAATTTATTGTGCGAAACCAATTTTGTGGGTCTGTACCACCTTGCACGGTGGTGTTGCAGGTGTGACCAGCGGGTATGGTACTGCGAGCGGCAGCCTTGCGAGAATGGGGCGACCTGCTCAGACACCGAGCCAGGCAGCTACAGCTGTCTGTGCAGCGACGACTTCGAGGGAGAGAACTGCACGCTCAGGGTGAGTGGGGCCACCGGGCAGTGTGCTTTCCACCGGAAGGGGGGGGTAGACCTCGTGAGAATTGGTGCTGCCAAACCTCTTGGCACTCTAACTTTATTGCATTATGAAGCTGGAGTAACTAGTGGTAGAAGGGTGCGCTGACTAACTGTTTATAGGGCTGCGAAAAAAATTTGAGGGTATTTTTTTCGCCCCAAAAATAAACTATGCATTGCTGAACACTCAGCGTCCGCCCAAATGGCATGTGGTGCTGACCGCTAGTGCTGCATTTTGGAGGAGACTGGGTGTTTAGCAATGCACAGTTTATTTTTAGCAGGGAAAAAAACAGTTTTTTTTTCTTGTAGACGCTCTCTATATGGCAGTTTTGACTGCAGGAGCTTTTTCCTGCGTGACCTCCTGCCACGATTAATCAGTCTGTTGCCGTGGAGACAATTGGAGCTGCCCAGTTTGCGCAATGACCGATTGCACCGGGGATTGCCGAGTGTGCTCGGACGAAAATTGGGCGTCGTCTGCTTAACCGTGCATCTCACCCTTCAAGGTCATTCTGAAGAAGCTGATGCACTTTATTTGGTGACACAGTCATCGGGGATCCGACATAGGCTGGGGAAGCAGAGTTGGGTTTTAACAAAAATAAAGGCCTGGCACAGTGGAAAAGATATTGGTAAGCTTAGACGAGTTTACAACTGTATGTCTGGATACAAGAAAGTTGTGAATTCAAGGGACAATTAAGGAATCATTATTGAATCGTGAAAGTTCTGAGATGAGGCGTTGCGTGAGGTAGACTGAACGCTGTTCAGAAATCTGCAAACATTATGATTGGATGCGCGACTCCAGGTTAGTGTGCATATCTTGGGGATGTCTTTTTCGTAGTCTTGGGGATTTCTTTTTCGAATGCCTTCTCGATTGTGCCTGCTCCTTGAGGCACATGTAGAACACGAGGCAGCTCTGTTGTAGACGGCTAAAGTTTGGAGACGTCGATTCAGTTTTGTGTTCATTAAATTCCTCGGGGGATTTTTGGTTTTGGTGCTTCGCTCATGGTTTTAAAATCAACTGAAAAAGAAATGCTAGAATATAAATGACCATTTACGTCATCGGGGTGTTTACCCGGAAAATGCCGATATTCTTTTGAAATTTCGTCAGCTTGGAGAAGTGGGAAAGTATAGAAATTTAGGTGCAACGTGAGAAACTATAGAATTGGGTTTTGAGCAATATGTGGATAGATAATGTGATTTAATACCTTACCATTTTCTGGGTTCTCTTTATCCTTATACGGCCATGGCCATGTTTTTTCGGTTTACGCCCGAAAACCCCTCTGGGAAAGGCAGTGAAGTTTGTTGTTCCGGGAGTCCCGTAAAGAGCCTGCAACGTTGGCTCGCTCGCTTGGTTTCAGAAAATTGTGGGGTGTGCCCAAGCGCCCTGCCAGAACCAGGGAACCTGCTACGACATGGAGCCCAAAGGCCGGATTGCGGTAGGTGCTTTCACGGTCGGGAAAGCGGGCAACCCTAGCATGCTTCGATGAGCCCGACTAGGGATTTTTAAAATCCGGCCGATCGGTCAGATTCAGCAGGACCAACTGCGTGGGATTTGGCACGCAATGGTTGGGTGTGCCCCTGCCTCAATATGTGCTCAACTTCCTCACAGTATGTGTGCAGTCCAGCTGGTGGAAGTTGGCGACACCGAATAAGCTATGTTTGAGAGTGATTAGACAATTCCTGACTGTCTTGTGGACGCAACTATTTTGTTGCCTAGTGCGGGACGGGCGCAGTAAGCTGTAGTTACAATTAGAAAATGTGAATTCCTCACTTTGGGTACGGTGTCAGGGAGCTCAGGCTATATTACCGCATTTACTCGAGTAATAGCCGCACTATTTATGAACAAGGCCTTTGCGTCTACTCTCCCACAGAACATATATACAGCCAATCATTGCATTGCACATAAATAACATAGCGAATAACCAGATCGAGAATATGATTCTCCATATAAATTCCATCTTCAAAGATGGTATCTTAGCACAAAGACGTTATCTCTGTCCTCTAAACAGCTGGAATCATGCTGTCGAACGCAGTGATTGGCAATCTGCGTGCTCCGCAGAAAAACGAACCCCCAGGCTTTCTTCTTAAACAGTGCGGCTCTTACTCGAATAAATAGGACAGTTTGCTCCGTCGTGGACTACTTTAACAACCCTGCAGGGCTAAGAAGCATTTCCTGCGATTTCGGATAAAGCTGCACCATGCCTTCCATCTTACTTTTGAAGAAGAGAAATGACAGTCTTGGATTGCAAATATTTGCCATTCAATAAAATACCTATAGGACATTAAAAGATTTTGCAGCGAGATCCAGATCTTTTCTATTCTCTTAAGCGCCGTTCACACTCTTGCGACTGAGTAGGACCGAGAGAAACCAGACCGGTTTTTAAGCCTTTTGCGACTTCTTAGGACCGGATGCGCGGCAGCGGAGCTGGTCCTAAGGGATCGCAAGAGACTTAAAAACCGGTCTGGTCTCTTTGGTCGTACTCGCGGTTGCAAGAGTGTGAACGGGCCTTTAGAGGAAGCCTTCTGAAAAGGTCTTTGGGGTCGCCTCTTGACTACATTCGTGGGACGATGCTACCAACATAGTATATTTCGTGAAACTGACTTCAGATGTGTGATGCCCGTCCCCACATATGTGACACTGCTTCCACTTGTGTGACTTCATCCCCACACGTGACACCATCCTCACACATGACACTGCACCTGCAGTGTGACAATAGACCCACATGTGGGACATCATCCCCACATGTGACATTGTCTACACACATCTGACGCAGCCCCTATCTGCATGGCACCATAACCACATGTGTCGCACCACCCCCATTTGTGTGACAATAGACCCACATGTGGGACACCATCCCCACATGTGTGACATCGTCTACACACGTGTGATGCTGCCCCTACCTGTGTGGCTCCACAACCACATGTATCGCACCACCCCCATTTCTGTGACAACATCCCCACATGTGTGACATCATCCCCACACTTGTGACACTGCTTGTACCTCTCTGGCACCACACCCACGTGTTATACCACCCCCATTTGTGTGGCACCATCCCCAGATGTTACACCCCCCCCCCCCCCCCCATGTGTGACATTATCACACGGAGTGATGCGAGTGTCCCGCGACTGTGCAGTACCGCTGCGAGTGTGGCCCCGGCCACGAGGGCCGAGACTGCGAGCGTCAGCGGGACCTGTGTGCCAGCGGTCCCTGCGAGAACGGGGCCAGCTGCCTGATTAGGGAGCCTGGCACCGTGGAGTGCGTGTGCGCCCAAGGCTACCGGGGCACCTTCTGCGAGGAGTTCATCGACCTGTGCAAAGAGGAGCCGCCCCCCTGCCTACACGGGGGACGCTGCAACCCCTACGTGGGGGGCTTCGACTGCTACTGCTATGGCAGTGAGTGGATCTCTATCGTCCGTTGCGGCTGGCCTTCCCACGCTACGCCGCACTTTACGACAAACCGCAGCAGGTTGTATCTCGTCGATCCAGTGTTGTGGAAGCATCGCGCGACTACGCTCTCCGCCCGTCACCGTACCCTTCCCGAAGGTCACTGGCACTCGCTTGGGACCGGCTTAAATGGCTCGTAGCATCCTCTGTCGTTCCCCGTGGAGTAAAGCAATGGCTCCTAGGTGGCAGGGCCATAGCACTGGATTTTCTGCATTGCTTTTGGGAGGCCAGTGTGAGCCACACGTGGGAGCGCCGCATTTAGCCGGGTGTCCTTACCTATGGAACACGAGTCTTGACCGAATGTGTGTCCAGTCCGTCTCCTGCGTTGTTTAAGGGACATAGGACACTCGGCACTTTGGCCTTGCTCTCTAAGAGGTGCCGTTCCTAGACCCCGACACCCATCTCGTCGTGCATCGTGGCTGAGCTCTGCACTCACAGATCGCCAATTGTCCGTGTTCCAGTGCTCCCCAACGGGCTTTACAGACACTTCAGGGATTGCAAAGGGATACTGTAGTTTTTTCTAATGAAATGTAACCTTTATTAGAGAAAAGGCTCTTAGGCGCCCATTTCTGGCTTGAGCGGTGGCGCCGTTGGTGTAACGGGCATGGCATTATGAGATGTTTCCCATAATGACATCACACGTGACATCACGAGAGTCACTAAGGTCACTAGTGACATCACGAAAGTCACGAGTGATGTCACAAAGGTCACTCATGAAGGCCTTGATGAAAGTCACGAGTGATGTCACAAGCGACGTCACTAGGGTCACGAGGGAGGGTGAAGAAGAGGAGGAGGAGGGGGGGAGGGTAAGGATCCTCCCCTCCGTCCTGCTTGTTGGGAGCTGCACTCTAATTCGGCATTACAGGGAACTGTAAACGTCTCAATTTTTTGGATAACTTTTTAAAATTATTTTTTATTAAAATAATATTTAGTAAATTTTAGAACGTGGCCTTAAAGTTCTCCGCGTTAACGTCGGTCCGCTCGTCGTTCACGATGTTGCGGCTTTCCACGTCCCAAGAGTATAAAAGGGTGTGTTCCTCGCAGCGGGCTATACGGGCAGCTTGTGTCAGACGGACGTGGACGAGTGCAAGGAGCAGCAGCCATGCCAGGGGGGCGCGACCTGCATCAACCTGGAAGGCTCGTACGCATGCACGTGCCCCGCCGGTCGATTTGGGCGGCACTGCCAGCTGAACGACTCTTGCTGGCTGGACCAGCCGTGCCACAACGGGGCCCCCTGCACCCCGGTGGAGGACCTACACCGGCCGTTCTTCTGCAACTGCACGCAGGGCTTCCTCGGAGACACCTGCGCTCTAACAGTGAGGACGCCCCCTTTCCCCAGATTCTCGGCATCTTTGGCGTGGTGATGTCCCGGAGTGCTAATGCTGCCTGGCGTTTTTACCCATGATTAACGTTAAAGCATGAAATGCTTCCTTAAGTTTGATTCACACATTTGCGTTTCAATTCGAACAGGTGCGTTGTGGTGTCAGCTTACAACTGCTTACAACAGTGGCTCTCAAATGAAGGTTTGAAAATCCTTCGACGACACTGGAGATCTTTTTGTGGTTCCCGAAGCCTTCGATTGTCAGTTAAAGCAAACAATAAGACTTCTTTTTTTTTATTTGATGCTGACTGTCCACGAAACTAAATACAGTAAAACCTCGTTATAACGAAGTTGAAGGGAAAGCCATAATGACTTCGTTATAATGATTACAGTGTAGACCGCATATAATGTATGTCGCGGGAGTCGCGAAAATCCGCACTATAAGCGGTTCCGCGTTATAACCAAAACATCAATTTTTCAGGCCAAAATACATGCCATTAGACAACTTACCTTTGTAAAATAATTTATGTTAGATGAAAAATAAAGCTTAGTTTGAGGAAAGTCTTTATTTCACCAGACTAGTAAAGGGCAACTCCGGCCAAAACTAAAAATGAATTAAATTACTGGTATCGCTTTAGTGACACAAAAAACGACCCCAGCCAAAATTTCACGTCCGTGGGACGCCGCATTCTCAACTAATACCCATAATTAAAATGCAACCCGCCGCAAGCCGCTGCTCCTTAGCGGGCGGCCAGCGGGTTGCCGATCGCTAAAGCAACATTGGGCCGTGATGTCAACATCGTTCTCTTTTTTTCCTCCGTTCCGGACGGGCGCACGGCGCAGCCGTCGCGCGCGCTTCTTTGTGCCGCTATTACCGCTACTTCGGCTTGTGGTTGCGTGTTTAGCCGTTGCTTTTACCTGTAGCCCGTGTAGCTTTGGTATAGCCTTTTGTTTATTTGCTTGTGAGGACTCCTAGACTTGTTTTAGCGAGCAACTCGGTGCGCCCAAGACTGCCCAGCTGTTCCTCGAAAGATGCCGAGTACAACTTAAAGCGCTGTGGGCTGCTTAAACAACCCGCTGCGCAACCCGGGGCTGCTTTTTCACAAGTTTCCAACGGATCGGAAATTGGAGAAGGTGTGGGTGAACGCTGTTCGACGAGTGGACTTTGGAAAGCCTTGGACGCCGACCCCCAGATCGAAGCTCTGCTCCGATCATTTTTCGCCGGAGGGTTACGAACGAAACCCACAGGTGTTGGTTGCTTGTGGCTTGTCAGCGAAGGGGTCGAGGCTTAAAAGGATGCCGTGCCGTCGCTCTTTGCCCATCGTACATGTACAGAAAAGGTAAACATGATAAAAGTATCCTGATCAATAAATAAAACAGTCATTGTCAAGTGCAGTGTTGAAGATTGAGCATTCACGCTCTATTGAATGTCTGTTGAATGGGGAATGGTGGTCATGTAGAGTACAACCACTAACTAGCTCCAAACACAGAAGTTTGTAATGAAAAGGAAAACAATGTTCTGCTTTGCGTCACTGTTTGTTTACTATGCAATCTCGTGCGTAGTATTCAGGTCCGTAGCGACTACTAGCGAACAGCCGGCGCATGAAGCTCATGCGATATAAGCATTCGCCTCCCAATCGTTCGAACCCATTACGCAGCAGTATTAATTAACATTGCGCTTGTGAATACCACAAGGGGCTTCAAAGGAATTGCGAAAGTTCGGATTTGTAAGTTACAACTCACTGATTTACCCGAGTTAGGCTGGAGGTAAATATAATATTTAAAAATGCAAAAAAAACAGAAAAAAAAAACACTTGCCTTAGTCAAAAGTTACGAAGGAAAACTTAAAATCCTATGTATTCCAATAAAAAAAATTGTTGTGGGTGGGGGTCGGAATGCGGAAGGGAAAGAAAGTGTTCTTACCTTGCTAACGTTCTCTGTTTTCCTTTATCACCCACAAAAACTTTTGCTAGCCTTGAGAAGAAAATGACTGCCCAAAGAACTTTTATTTTTTTATTTTTAGTGCGGCAAGTTTTTTTTTATTTGTACAAAGATTCACTACCTGGACGAATTTATGTGATGAATTAGTGTCATAGCTTACAAATTCGGCTTTTACGCGCCTGAGGAAAAAATAAAAAAAACAGACGTCTACAGCTTAGCACACGTCTGTTCGGGCGTCGCGGCCCGCGCCGGAGAGCCTCAAAGCTTCGTGTCTGGGACTGACCCGCAGCGCGAAAGCGAGAGGGCCCCCAGTACTGTACGTCACTGGCAGCGCGGCGTAGAGCAACGCCGCTCCATCCACGGAGCCCCGATGACAATTTAGGCCTAGCGACGAGTGCGGGAGACCGGACGCACGCCGACAGCTGCCGAGTACGGCACCGAACGAGTTTACTCGTTTTCCAGTGGCTAGCTTTTGGGTATACAAGCAACGAGTACGGCACGGCATAGCGCACGCGCGGCGGCGGCCGCCGTGTACGGCACGGAACGAGTTGTTGGGTTTTCCAGTCGCTAGCTTTTGGGTATATACGCACTAACTCTTGCTACATATGCTCGATAACTACCACGTATACAGAATTAAAACAAAATCAGCTTACCTTCTATCTTTAGACGGCTAGCGCAACAGAGGTAGGTGCCGCTTGGACTGCGTACTCGTTGAACGAGAACGATCTTGACGTCACGTTCACAAAGCGGCTGATTTCCAGTGTTGCCGTAACCTCGAGCGGCTAGTTTCGGTTTTGTCGGCCGCGCCCCAAACAAAACTTTGAGACGTCGATATCTTTAAAACTACGCACAATAACGAGAAAAAAATTACACCTTGCAATTCAGGGGCGCTAACTGCACTAAAAACAGCCATAATCCCAAAATCGAAAGTATGGACCGGAGTTGCCCTTTAAGTGTGTCACACATTTTGAATGAGCGACTTTTGCCTGGCGCAGCCTTTTAACGGCGTCGCGGGTTGCGGGCGGACTTTGCGAGTGTTCAGGATTGCTTTATTCTTTATTCATCATTGTCCTGCAGCGCCATCAGGCATTATCGCAGGGGGCGAATAAACTCTGAAAAAACATTTCTGAATTCGCGGCACACACAATCGCACTGGGCAAGGCATTCCACTCCTTAATTGTTTTAACAAAAAAAGAATTTTTGCCCAATTCCGTCCTGGTGCGGTATTCTCTAATTTTATGAATGTGGTCTTTTCTTTTTGAGATATAATTTGGTGGTAATAAGTAAAATGAGCTATTAATGCCAGTTTTATTGTTATAAATGTTGTATAAAAACTTCAAGCGCAAATTTCTTCGTCTTAATGCCAATGTAGACCATCCCAGTTCTTTTATCATGTCGGTTACACTCTCAAAGCGGCCGTACCGCACCAAAACGAACCGAGCGGCACAACTCTGAATTCTTTCTAAGGCAACAATGTGGTTTTGCTGAGAAGGATCCCAAACGGTGCAGGCGTACTCTAGCACTGGGCGCACATAAGATAGATAGGCGAGCTCTTTGATAGATTTGGTTGATTTTCTTAAATTTCGTTTTAAAAATCCAAGCGCTCTGCCAGCCCTCATAACAACGTCGTTAATGTGTGCGTTCCAGGTGCAGTCAGCTGACAGAGTGACGCCAAGATATTTAACTGTTTGCTGTTTTGTTACGGTTTCATTATTCAGTTGGTAACATGTTTCAACTTTTGTTTTGGTTTTTCGGGTAAAACTAACATGGGCACATTTTTTAACGTTTAACTCCATCTTCCACTTTTTACACCATTGCTCTATTCGATTCAAATCACACTGCAGCCGCGTGGAACTCCCCTCGTCTGTTATGCATGTATAAACAACACAATCATCGGCAAACAATCGTACCTGTGAATTAACACCGTCATTAATATCATTAACAAATATCAGAAACAACAATGGACCCAAAACGGACCCCTGCGGTACACCAGATGTTACCATAACAGTATTTGAAGTTTTACCATTTAAAACAACACGCTGAAGACGTGATGACAAATATGCTTTTATCCAATTTAGGATAGTCGTGTCAAAATTCATGCGCTCTAATTTGTATAATAATAGTTCGTGTGACACCGTATCGAACGCTTTTTTATAATCTAAGAAAACACAATCAATCTGTCCGCCTCCGTCAACCCCCGTCATTAAATCATGATAAAGCTCAGTTAGTTGTGTAGTACATGAGTACGCCTTTCGGAACCCATGTTGCGAGTCAAAGAAAAAATTATGACAGTTTAAATGCTTCATAATGTGACAATATAAAACATGCTCCAGTAATTTACAACATATAGATGTCAGTGAGATCGGTCTGTAATTCGTAATTTCTTTTTTGGGCCCTTTTTTGTGCACAGGCACCACGTGTGCCACTTTCCAGTCGTCTGGCAATGAACCATCATTCAACGATTTGTTATATATTACAAAAAGGTATGGAGCGATCGCATCTGCACAACGTTTTAAAATTCTCGGAGAGATCCCATCTGGGCCTACTGCCTTAGCTTCATCTATATGCTTTAGAAGTTCCAACACACCTCCTATAGCAAGTTCAACTGGTGGCATTGCACTGAACGTGCCCTGGCATCTATCGTAGTCGATGTTCTCAGGAGGCAAGAAAACTGATTGAAAATATTGATTGAAGGCTTCAGCTTTTTGCCGGTCATCGGTAATTATTTCTTTGTTGACCATCACGTCTCCTATCCCAATCTGATCATTACCACAGCGCCTCATGTACTTCCAGAACTGTTTGTTGTTTGCTTTCATCCCGTCCTCCAGCCGTTGCAGATAATTTTCTTTGGCTTCCTTCGCCTTTATTTTATACAATGACGTAAGTTCTTTTAGCTTATTTAGATTTCGCACCGAGCTCTTCTTTTTATACCGTGCATACACACGCTTGCGCCTCTTTATCAGCCGCAGTAGGCTACCGGTAATCCATGGTTTTTCTCTCTTTTTTAACTTCGACGAATCTATACTTGGAACGTATTTTTCAGTTAAACTGATA